CTTCAAATAGTTGACGATAGGCTACTTGTTATTTGTTGATGATGTGTGATCCTGACATGATCCCTATTCTCCTACTCTATTCCTTGATATGTCTAAGTATGTATTTCATCTACTTAATTTTAGGAGATGCCATTTAGGCAATCTCTACTGAGCCATTGTACTCAACTCTCTACTTAACATTTTTCAGGAAACGGGAAAGAAATCATGGACGACCCACAACCTCATACATGACAACATTGAGGATTTCTTTTGTCGACTAAATGTTTAAAACATTTTGATGATTATATCTTTTGTTGTAATCAAACTTATATTATTTTGATAGTTTTGTAATTGTTCACAATGTATCTATTTTTAGGATAGAAATGAGTTTGAGATCTAATTACTCTCTCTTAAGGTCATAGTTTGATTTATATGATATTCTAGAGCCTTAAATGATTCAATGATGTACGATAAACTTATTTTGATGCATGATCAATGTATAAGAATCTACTTGATGTATTAATGATGTAATTGATCAACAATGACGTTTGAATGTTTTATTATCTATGTATATGAATGTTTTGGGACAGGTTTGGGTTGGTCTAAATGATCAATTTATGATTTAAAGGAAAGAACAATAAAAAAATGGTCATTGCGAAAATTGTTAGGTTCAATCCGATCGATCAGATTTTTCCATACTTAGATTATTTTGAAATCTCCCTAAAATCTTCTCTCGGTCCAATTAATTGGATTTCAATCTGATCGATTGGATTTTCCCAGACTTAGAAAATTTTGAGGTTGTCAGAATCGCTTGGATTAACCAGACTTCAAACAATCATAACTTGGTTATTTTTAACCCAAATTAAGCCATTCTTGAGTCTATAATGATGCATTTTGAGCCACCTTTCCATTGGCATCAATCTCATTTTATAATTTTAACTTGAAATGACTATTTTACCCCTCATGAGCCTAGCGTTCCACGATGAACCCGAAGTTGGATTTACTAATTCTTTAATGATTCAATGTGGTTATAAATGACTAGTATGACTTAATTATGACTCCTAATTCTTGGTAAGGTGCATACTGACTATTTTGCCTTTAGTGAACCTCGGGTTCGAGTAAGGACCTGGATAGCGATTCGGACTCTCGGGTCGGGTCGTTACAACCATCCACCACCAAATGACTGAAAATGCATGCATGTACCTCCTTTTTGACCGTCATACAATCATATAAATGGAAATGGAACTTAGCACAGAGTATAGGTAACTATACTTGGTACGGGCATCTTGGGGTGCCAATACCTTCCCCAAGCGTAAAGAAACCCCCGAATCCAACGTTTGGTAAAGTAGACCACGAGTCATCCATGGCCCCAAAATTCAAACCAAATTCTTTCAAACCATTGGTGACCTGACACACCAGAACTCAAAGTTAGGTGGTGACGCTTTCACAATCTCTGAATTTGGCCTTATAAAGAATAAGTTCCAAATCACAACTTCATTGCACATAAATGCCAGTACATAACGACGAACTGACCCTCGAGGGACCAAAGCTTGCGAGTGGATTCCTCTCCTAGCCTTGAGGGGAAAAGGGAAGGGGAGAAAAACTGCGACGCCATAACTTTTGTTAAGAGTTAAATCCCTCCTTCATCATATACAGCGGAAGCATCATCACATATATGGAGATAGCAATCATACATATCCACACACAACATAATATTTTTTATGGGTCACCTAAGTCTAGGGCTACGTCCATGGAAAGAGAGATTTCCATTAGTATGAATCAAGGAAGAGAATATATAACAAGATTTCAAAACCTCACTCACCCATTCATCATCTCTTTTGATGTTACGTCTATATACTTGAGAATTACATAGACTCCCACCTCTCCTCACAAAACTTACCATTAAACCCCTTACATCTTTTCTCTTTTCTCTAAACCTCTCACACATATCTGTATTTATAGAGTCTTTAAACCAAATTCCTTGTTGGACAAGTATTCCCCAATTTGTCCATAAGGAGTTACCATATTAGTCTTCAACTCTAAAATAGTAGTCTTCTCTTGAATTGATTCAATTAGGGTTATCATGTTCAACTGGTTCAAGAAAAAGTTGGAACTGGTTCCAAATAACTTTAAGTTGTTCACTTCTGCCAGACCATTTCTCACACACTGAATTCAAGCCACAAAACCCAACATGACCAACTTGTAATCTGATGTTGATTCTGAAGATTCTGTGATGATCAGTAGAAGAACATCATCCTAAACACTCTCGTATTTTTAAGTGTGTTCTCTAAAAAATAAATAATAAGATTTCTCTGAAAATTCTATAAAAAAGCTTCAATAATAAGTAAAAGATGAAAACCCTTGTTTTTCCAATTAAAGCAATCAATCTCTCAAAACTCTCTCATATGATTTGTGAAATATGTTATAGATATATTAGAGAGTCCTTATGATAGACAAAAATATCTTATAAAATCAGGCAAGGACTGTCCTACAAGATTGGGTAAAAACAAAAAAAGTTACCAAACTTTGATTTTTCTTACCTTCAGGGAAATGCAATCAGTTCTACTTCAAAGTCAACCATTCTACTTGAAAATTTAGCTGGCTCTACTTATCCCGAGAGCTAATTTGGTGCAGGAAGTGCAACTAGTTGGACTTTGTTGAATGCTATTTCCAACCTAAGCTATCATACCCAAATTTAGAGATACTCACGAGTGTTCCTAACTCACTTACCTATTCTAAATAATGTTCTTAATGAATTTAACGATAAGAGGCACTTGCATTTTAACTCCAAAAAATCGAGACTCAAAATAAACAAAAAGTAAAACTCAATCATCAAATTTTGATTATGAAATTGCCAACATTATATATTTATATGTCACATACTAAAGAGCTTCCATGGACAGGTTGTATGACTCCTAATTTGAAAAGTCTCCCTTGAGCACAATTAATCAGAGTACATTTCAACTCTTCTAGTCAATACATTATTATTTTCTTACATTTTACCTTTGTTGATATTTAAGAAGTATGTACTGCAAAGTAGAAATTATGAGTCCGCTAATTTGTCTCTTCTTTTGTATCTATGTACAAATCCAAGAACAAAATTGCCAAGCTGATGTTAAATAAAAATGTACCCATTTGAAGGTTTGTAGCTGGCATGAATTAAAAATCTCACATATCAATCAGCATGATTACTTCTGTTTTTGCTGTAATCCTTGATATTTAAAGTCACATAAGAGGAGACGTCAACCGATTATATTAATTTATTTTTGACAGCATAAATTAGAAAAAAAGTAATTTAAAATTTGAATTAATTTGGATCTCAATTACAAGTCCAAAAGGTCAATTCCATGTTAATTTCTGATAATAAGAGATGTATAGGTTTTACACACGCCATTTTCAATACAATTCAGTTTTGTTTGTGTCACAACAAAATATTCATTATTGTTGATTATTTTTACTAAAATGTTTGAAAAACAGAAAATTTCAAGTATTGTTCGGTTATAAATTTAGGATCTATTGGATATTATTTTTGAATTTTAAGTGTTTCATATTCAGTGATAATTGAAGTCTCTTACTTACCTAATTTTAGGAATTACTTATTCTTTTAATTGATATCCACATTTTATTTCATTATTTCAAAAAGTAGTGAATTGAGTTATCGAACCGACACCTATATTTTACAATTTAAGTATAATATTTATTTTTACACGTAGATTGTATTTTTATACAAAAATTCATTTTTAGATAGATTTATGCAGCTATTATCACTAATAAAAGTCCAAAATTCTTTTTTTCCCAACACAACATGTAGCTCTAACAAATTAACCAGTATTGAAATTAAAAATTTTAAACTTCTATTAGTGATTTTATATGCAATAGCATGTATCGATCCATCACTGAAACCCACGAGAAGCTTCGTACCACTAAACCAAATTTGTCCGCATTATATTGACGGCTCCGTATCGATGCAAAAGAGGTGTTTCTGATCTTGTTTAGCAAAGACGAGGAGGGTTTTCTAAGAATTGTACAATGATTGAGTTCCAATGCGGAGTCATCAAGCTTATGTGTTTTTTTCTTTAATTTTTTATTATTATATTTTATCCTGACAAGAAAAACAATTATACGGTATCAACAAAAGTTGTCAAAAATGGCCATACAAAGACAAACAAATCATGAAGCAACAAAAGAAAAAAACACGGAAGAACAAGCTCTAGATTTGTTGAGAAACAAATCAACATACAACAGCGGAAACCACCAAGGGGAGGAAAGCAGCAAGCGGAAGTGACCCAAAGGTCAGGCCGTCATCAAGATAACACCACCAAGGCTACATTCACAAGGCACCACCGACTGGGGGAAAAACCACCTAACCTCGCACAAGAAGGCAGGAATAACAAAATCTGACATAGATCAAATATCTAACCGGAGACAAAATAATAGATCCACTCCGTCGAGCCAGAAAACAAGCCAATTAAGCAGGAGTAGATCTGACCAAACAATAGCAAAATGGCGTGAAACCACCCACTGATCAACTACTTACAATACGCTGAGTTTATTATACAGTGGGTGGCAAGAATCGGCTCCTCCCCACTCCCATGAAAGAGAGTGGGGAGGAAGTAGAAGGAAGAGAAGGTAGAAAACGAAGGGCAGAGGGCGACGGCTGAAGGGGTTAGTGAGAGGCGAGAGAAAAGTTATCAAGCTTATATGTCATATAACTGGAAAATCAACAAAAAGAAAATAAAAAGTTTGAGATTTATCGTTTAAAAAGAGAAGTTTTTATTAATTAAAATGATTTGGTTGTGTTCAATTTATCTAGTGTTTCAATATAGTTCTTGTCTGGCCAATGTTCCATCTATGTTTACATCATGTGAAACCAAAATCCATCTTGTAAACACAAACTATGATTATACAGAGCAAATATTTTATTCAAGCTTTGTACATCTGGCCAGGGAAGAAAATGACAAAAAGTGTGAGCTATAAAGGTTAGGAAAAAAATAGTAAGCAAGATAACAAAATTTAAGAGAATGTCTGAGTCCGAGTCTCAGCCTGAATCTCCACCTGAGCCTCAGCGTCCACCTCCACCTCTACCTCAGCCTTCCCCTCTGCCTCCGGCTCAGCCTAGAGCCTCCAAGACATTGCCAATAGCCACACTAGTGATGAGAAGCGTCACTTTGACTGCTCTTTTAATATCACTCATCGTCATAGCGTCAGACTCTGCCACTGCTAGGGTTGATCTCATCAAATTCACCATTCACTTCAAGGATTTTTATGCCTACCGGTAAAACATGCAATTTCTCTCTCTCTCTCTCTCTCTCTCCCTCTCTCTCTCTCTATATATATATGTGTGTAGCTAATATTATGGTTTTAATCTATTAATGGCTGCAGGTATATGTTGTCAACCATAGTCATAGGAATGGCCTATACCCTCTTGCAGATACCTTTTGCAATTTACCATGTAAGCATGGGGAAGCGCCTAGTGAAACATGGTGGCTTTCTCCATTTTGATTTCTATGGTGACAAGGTTAGTCAGCTTTATTTGCACCTATATATATATATATATATATATATATATATATATATATCAATTTTTTTTTTTTTTTTTTTTTAACACTCTTTAGAGAAGTCTATAGCCCTTTCTTTGCATCTATTACTACTTACAGAATTGATCGCTATTAATATTAGAGTTACAATACAAGATGCACACCGAAAAAAAAAAGAAAAAAGAAAAAAAAAACAAAGAATATCTTAAATACAAAAACATTAAATACACACTTGACACATTGCGTGACAACTTTGAATAACGGGGATCAGAACTATTGTATAATAATAATGAGCTTGATAAATTTCATTGATTGGGCAGGTTCTCTTATCCCTATTAGCAACAGGGGTTGGTGCAGCATTTGGTGCAACATTGGATCTCAAGAAACGTATGGATGACTTGGAGGATGACTTCCAAGATTACGGCGTTACAGATTTTTCCCAATTTCGATCAAAGGCTGATAATTTCTTTAACATGGCCAATATCTCTACAGGATTCCTTCTGATTGCCTTCTTAAGCTCGGGAGTTTCATCTATCCTTTCATCAATGGCCCTTTTCAAGAAAAGATGATCATGAATATATAGAACAATGACATGCTATTTTCTGACTTCAGTAATTATGTTGAAGCAATAGCAAACCATATAAATTTAATTCTTCCTTTCTTCCTTTATTTTTATTTTTTATTTTCTTTTCAAGAAGTGATGTTGTAACTAAGGATGTTGGCATTTTATGCTCTAAAAGCCAATATCCTTTTCTGATTTTAAATTTATTTTAATGAATAAAATTTATAATTGGAGGATTAAATACTTCATATATTGGACATTTATTTAATAAGTTTGAATGAGATGTATCATAATTCTCAAGATGTTTCGGTACTTGAAGGGCATAGAATGGATACTCTTTATTACATTCCAACTGTGTATGTATGGGCTCCCGTGAGCCAAAAAACAGAGCTTATGAACTTAATTCGGATAAAAAATAGCTCTGTAAGCGGTGGCAGAGTCAGAATTTCAATTCAAGGAGGCACATTGCAAAAAAAATAAAATACTATAAAGAAGAAGAAAAGAAGAACAATTATTTTTTTCTTATTTTCCTATTTCTCTCTATAGATTCCTAGGAATCTAAGGAGAGAAATAGGAATATAAAGAGAGAAATAGGAAAATAAGAAAAAATTAAAGAAAATTTTAGAAACTAAAATAATTTTAAGGGGGCGTTATATACAAATTTTTATAAAGAAAATTTAAAAATAATCACATATAATATAGTGGGTGGGGTCAGAATAGGAGGGTATGTGCCCCTCTAGGCATACACTAGTTCCGCCCTATTTATAAGCGAAAATCTTTAGAAAATAGGATCGAAAAAAGCTATAGAAGCCAAAAATTGCAAATAAAACAGGGATGGAAAAGAGCTATGGAGGTAAAAAAAAAAAATTGCAACAAACATGGCTTGCTAACTTCAAGTATAGAAGTGATGGAAAATAGAGCTTTACCAAATTGAATTGGGTGGCATGTTCTCATCTTTTAGTTCTTTTGCATATAAAAAAGTGTAATGTTTATGACTTTAATATATATATATATTGTGGTGGACAATTTAAAATGGTGGGACCCACTTTCCATAAACACTTTTATGGCCAAGAGGCTATTCTTTTTGGCCTCCATTTCTCTCTCTATCTCCCTAACAGTACCTCTTTTTTTCCCTTTTCTTTTTCTTTTTCTTTTTCTTTTTCACAATTTTCAAACTACAATTACTCTTTCATCCTTTGAAATTTTTGGGTGCCATTTGCAGCAAATCGAAGAGCTTGTTGAGATCTTCTCATTGATACAAGTAATTCATCATTTGGTGCACTCTAGGAATTTCGAAATTTTGAACCCATTTGGGGGATTTTCTCATTTTTGGTGGTAGGGGTTTCTAATTCCCAATTTCTTGTATCTTTGTAAATTTTTCTTCAATATTTATTGTCAAGCATACTTAATTTGAGTTGATGGCCTTTAAAATGATTTAATTGTGGTGTATGGAATCCATGATTATGTGTAGTAATTGATTTATACGAAAAACATGCTTAATTGATAATATTCTTTGCTTATTGTGTTTAAAATTTGCCAAAATTTCATGATGAGAAAGTATGATATTTCTTTTGAATTTCTTGTAAAATTATGCTATGTGAATTGAGTTTATATTGGATATATGATAATGGACATTGACATGACATGACATGGAAGAGCATGATGCATTCATGCATAACATTGGGCAAAGAGAAAAAAAATGGGAAAGAATTGTTTTAAAATGAAAAAGGGGCTTTGGGAAATAAGTTTTGATAAGTGGTTTTGAGAAAACCCAGACGCCAAGGGGATACTGAGGGTCCGTGGCGTTAATGTAACCTAGAGGGAACTAGGAAAATTACCCTAATGTGGTCGAGCTATTTAAGCCCCAAATGACGCTGCGGAGTCACCAAGGGTCTGGGACAGTAGCCAAGGAGTCACCGAGGGACGAGTTTTGTTAACAATTTGAAAAGTGGAGAATGGAAGTGATTTTGAAAACGAGGAGCGACCTAGCACGGCATAGCATTCCATAGCATCATATTGTCCATTTTGGTCTTGTAATTTGTTATATTTTCTCCCAGCATATCATGATCCCGCTTTCTATATTTCTATTCATTGTTTGGATTCACGGGGTCACAAGAGGTGTCTTAGACACTACCTACTGTGCAATTTGCTCACCCTTTATATTTAACATTTTTAGGTCATGGAAAAGAAGTGGCGGATGACGTTCTACCACAGGCCTAGTATGGATTAGAAGATCATTCTGTTGTTTTTGTATCTAAGTCTCAGTATTTTTGTAAAACTTAACATATTATATTATGTACTAAGACTCATGGACTCTTATTATTGTAATTATATTCATGAGCTATAACTTTAATATAAGTTATCTAAACGTTATAAGACATGGACTCTTGATCTTAGCCATATTTTTGGGACTGTAATTATGATATTTGGATAAATGGTATATGGTTGTTCCTCCATGAGATGAACTATGTTGAGGCATAATGAATGGATGAAAGGAATGTTGAAATGTATTATTTGCATTGTGTGTTAGGGTAGGCTAGATAAGTTTTGAAGGTTTAAGAGAGGCCATTGTATTGTTATGCATTTAAGCAGGTTGTTGTAGGATCCTTTTTAGCAGAGGTCATGCCAATTTTTTATTTTTTATTTTTATTTTTATAATTGGTATCATTTTAGGGTCGTTACAAAAAGATTTTGAATAATTTTAACAATCCAGAATTTAGGGGTAGAACAAATATCTATACTGTGTTAATTCATAATATTAGGGCTAGTTTGGTAGGTAGGAATGAAATGAAATAAAGTGGAATGGAATGCTTTTAATTCCATTCTTTTGTTTAGAAAGTAATTTTAAAGATGGAATGACCATTCTCCACTTTTTTTGGAGAATGGTCATTCCATCAAGATCATTTTACTTTCTAACAAGAGGAATGGGCATTCCATTCCCCATTTAAAAAAATATGGAAAAAAAATAATATTAAAAATCGCTTTACTTTTACGATGTGACTTGATAACACACTTTTCTCAAATAACGAGATCCAATAAAAGTCAACTTTTTCTTGATATTCCCTCCTCAATTTCCAAATATATATTGAAAATATATATTTACACACACACACACACACACACACACACACACATATATATATATATATATATATTTATTTATTTATTTGGTTTACATATATATAGATTAGTTTTCCTTTTTAAACCATGCATAACCAAACGAGAGAATGGGAATGGTTATTCCATTCTCTAGTTCATTCCATTCCTACCTTATTTCATTCCTCCATACCAAACTAGCCCTTAGAGTTGTTCAATTGCTCCAAGTGTCTAGTTTTTTAGCATAATTTTTGCAATAATGAACACTCCATTTGTTGGTACAAGATATCATGGGTTGAAATCGGGAATGGTTTTCACTAAGACATACCTATATTCTTTTGTGGTTTCTATAGGGATTTTTCCTTCTTTAGTGGTTTCCTTATTTTTTGAAGCAAGGAAATAAATGAAAAGGTAAGTGGTTTTTTATTGAAACCATTAGATGAGATCTAGCAGACAAGGTTCCATTCGTGGATGTTGCTCCCTTCACACCAGAGCGCGTGTAGACACTAAAAATTTAGTGGGCTTTGGTTTTGACAAATTGACCCATTATGGGCTTAATGTTTAATTAAGTTATTTAATTGGCCCAAGTTTGGTCTATTTAAATTATTTAATTAGCCCAACCCAGGTGGTTAAATAAACAGATAATTATTCCTAATAAAATATATTTGGAATAATTATTTTTAAGGATAATTATTATAATATAACTAGTCCGGCTCAGTTATAATTTTATCTTTATCAGGAGATGACACGTGTCATCATCCTATCAACCCAAGAAGCCTATAAATAGAGGCCTGGGGGAAGAAGAGGGGGACAAATTCAGAGTCCAGAAATCCAGAGACTCAGAAGTCTAGAAGGTCCAGAAATTGAGAGAATCAGAAATCCAGAGGGCCAGAAATCTCGAGGGCAAACTTGAAGGCGAAGAACACCAAGCACATCCAAAGTCATGCCGTTCTTCACCAAATTCAACAAATTCTCTTCTCTCTTAAGACGAAGAACAACAAACACATCCAAAGACGTGTCATTCTTCCTCAAATTCAATAAAGGACACAAATTCAAAATTCAGAAGTCCAGAAATTCAGACACAAATTCAGAATTTAAAAGTCTAAAGGCTCAAAAATCCAGAGACTTAGAAGTCAGAGACACAAATTCAGAATTCAGAAGTCCAGAGACTCAGAAATCCAGAGACTCCAAAGTCAGAGACACAAATTCAGAATCTAAACTCAAAAGCGAAGAACATCAAGCACATCCAACAATGTGCCGTTCTTCATCAAATCCCATGGTGATCAACAACAAGCACATCCAACGACGTGCCGTTCTTCATCAAATTCCACGGTGATTCAAGATTAAGCTCGTGCAGCCCTTAGATCCAACCAACCAAAAAGGAGATCGAATCAAAGGACCATTCTTTTTGTAAAAGATATCACAAAGGATTGTATCCCAAATATTTCTAATTTAATAAATTATTATTTTGCCCATATTTTGTCTTTATTGCAGAGTACAAAATTTGTGTGTACAAATTTTTGGCATGCCTGGTGGGACATCCTTTGCCTCTCATCTCTTTCTCCTACATTAAATCCTCAACAAATTCATCGTCAGATTCTATGACTTTCAATAAGATTCAGACGAAGAGCAAGAACACCGCCAAAGACATCGCGGTCATGACGGACAACATTAATACCATCATAAAAGGTGGCAAGAAGGTTGCAACTTCATCAAGTGGTACAAACACCTCTGCAAGTTCAATGATGTAGAGCATGGTCAAATCATCCGTTCCTGCCAAAAGACAGCACGATGCGATGAGAGTTAATTCTACCAAATCTGTCAATGTAACAACTCAAACTCATACTGCCTTCACCTCGTTGGAGGCAAGGAGGAAGGTTCCTACAACCTCAAAGGTTGCTCCAGTCACAAGTTCAAGTTCCACCTTGCTGGGGGCAAGGAGGAAGGTTCCTACAACCTTAAAGGTTGCTCCAGTCACAAGTTCAAGGCTAGTCTACCCAAGGCCAAAGATTTTTTCTGACTCCATCACTATGCCAGTCATGATGACGAGTACTACCTCGTATGAAGAGCAACTGACGACTATGGCCCATGCAATTGAAAGATTACAACACTATCTCAAGGAGCAAGATCTGAAAATTGCCTCGCTGACAGAAAAGTTAAAATTACGTGA